TATGCGATTGGGGTGGAAAAGATGATCTATGCAAACTTGGCACGACGATCGTCCTTAGGCCACTTATCACTCTCACTCGTCGGAACACGATCGCTGGCCGGCAATGCGGACTGGCGTGGTCATAAGCGACTGCGATTGTGCGGTAGTCGAAAGTGACGATGATCGGTATTTTGGTGGTGGTCCTCGGGGGGTAGTGCCGAGGAAACGATATTCGATGCGTCACTTTATCACTCTCTTAAAAAGGTAAAATATAGATTTTTTTAGTTATTTTTTAAATTTTATATCCAATCCGAGTATATCTCACCCCTTAGAACGGATTTCTTATTTGCCATTTTATTCGGATGTATCTGGGTTTATCCAGTTCAGAGAACGTCACCAAACACCGAATAGGATAATTTGTTATCCTATCTGAACTCAGATTCTGGCTACCAAACGCAATTTAACTTAATAATGTTCCCTATAAAAAAAAAGAGAGTAAATTTTAATACTACTTTTTAAGCCGGAGACTTTTAATTTGGTGTCACGTCATTTGCAGTTCTCGGCAAATCATTTTCAATATCAATTTACAAAAAGGAAAGATCACCAACCGGCACCGTCCCTCTTAAAAAAGAGACTGTGCCTTCTTTGCCTTTATTAAATTGTTTATCCGGTTTCCTTAGTGGAAGGAAAATCTTTCTTATTGAGATTTTCTTTAATCCAACGGTGAGATTCCTTGTATGTGAATATAATTTCAACGGGTTAATATCACAAAAAATCTCAAATTAATATACATGTGACAAATTTACCCAAATTAATTTTTTGACAAAAAATTAACTTTAAACCGATACACCTATAACAATTTTACTCTCCGTTATTTTCCATTAAATTTTAACGTCAAATTTCTGAGTTGGATGATATGTGACAGTTGACGGGTGTACCATTTTGGTGATTTATCCTTCGTTTGTTACAGATGTATCGGTTTGAAGTTTCTCGTAGTATTAATTCAATTTAACGGAAGGTAAATTTGTCACAAATATACTAGTTTGGGTTTTTTGGTGATAAAAAAAATTAGTCCAGGGTAAAATTTGTCATAGGCGTACCGGTTTGAGATTTTTGGCAGTAAAAAAATTAGTTTGTTGTAAATTTGTCACATGTATACCAGTTTGGGGTTTTTCATCGTATTAACCCTAATTTGAATAAAATAAAGGAAAAGATAAACATGAAGGAAACCAATAAAACACCCACGACAATACGAAATTCATGATGCTGTAACTAACTATTCGCGATCACCAATTGAGCGACCATGACCAAGACCTCAGATCGAAGAACCATGACCTCAAGCTTCGCGACTCGAAACTCAAGTGGCCATTGCCGCAAGCCTAGAGCTTGAGCTTGGGATCATGGCGGCCGCAATGGACCCCCATCTCTCTCTCGCTCGTTCATGTCGGCTTCCATTCATTTTATGTTTCTTTTGACATGGCGCCAAATTCGACCAACAAGAAAAAAGGTACAGCGAAAGGACTCACAGCGACATTTTCTCTCCCTTTAAATGTTGTCTTCATTTATGTTTTTATACAGTGCCAAATATCGTCGTATAATAACTTGAACGAATCATAGCACGGCACGTGTATTCTAGCGTTCGTGTCAGCAATCCCGCAATATATGTCAACAAAAATTGACCCGACAAGGAAAAAAAGTACAGTGGTAGGACGCGGGGCGCCATTTTCTCGAAGGTCGAAAGAGGCTTTAAAAGAAGTAGAAGTAGAAGAAGAAGAAGATAGAGGGCGATTTTAATTTCCGAAAACGAAAAAAGAAAGCAGAAGGATCGAAGGGATAATGATACGAACAGTCTCTGAACTTTGACTCAATATGCAATTTAGTCCCTGAACTTTTAATTTGTTCAATGTAGTCCCTGAACTTTAACCTAATATTCAATTTGGTCCATGAACTTTTAATTTGTTCAATGTGGTCCCTGAATTTTTAATATGTGTTCAATTTAGTCCCTGAACTATTTGCATATCGGGTCAAAGTTCAGGGACAGTTTGTGTCATTTTCCCAGGATCGAATGTAGCGTTATTCCTTAAATAAATTAAATAAAGAAAACAAAACCTTCCTTCCCCACATTCTCAAATCCGGTCCCCGGCCACGTCCCCACCAATTGGAAAATTGCGGTCGACACGCGACCGCTGGAAATTCAGCACGGCGGCCCCGTCCGGCTAGCGGCGCTCTTTTATGAAAACTCTGCATCGGTTGCCGATCCGATTTCTAAAATTGGGAACCGAGGACCGGATCGATTCAATAGAACCGGTTATTTTTTTTTTCCACTACTTGATACCATATATTTTGAAATTAGAATTGTGTTCTCCATGCTGATTACACATAAACACAAAAACAAGTGCAATTCGAGCCAATACGATGACAAATTGTGTTCTCCGTGCCGACTACACATATGTTCTAAAATTGGAATTGTATTCCCCATGCCGACTACACATAATCACAAAAGAAAAAGTATCCGGTCCGATTTTCCTTGGAACCGGAAACCGGACCTACTTTTAGGAACAGGGAATTGACCGACACTTCCTAGAATCAGACCAAACCGACTGGTTCAATCCGATCCGAGTAGTTTCATGTTTGGGTGATTCGTTTTGCCCGCCCTTAATAACCACCGTCGATTTCCATTCTCGATGCGATAATAATTTACGCAATATAACTCAATCCTCCATTGGTCTTCACTGTCGTTTTAGAGATGGAAGTCCTTTGCATGCTTTGAAATGAAAAACACCTCTTAAGAAACTTCCGAGCAATTTCCTCATAGGAACGAAGAAAGAAATAAAATAAAAAGGCAGCGTGCGAACTGCATACGTTCGACGGAAACCAGAGGTCGTTTTGCTTGTTTGATCCCGCCAATTACGTGCAAATTGCTCTGTTCGAGAGCTGCCTCGTACTAGCCAAAGATTTGAACTTGACAAAGCCGGGTTTCTGCGCTTGTGCCCTCAAAACACCGAAAATTTAAAATAAGAATGTTGCAACCGATTATCTCCGATTGTTTTGCGAAAAATGAATAATTTATATGACGATTGCTTGTATCGCTTAAAATAATTAGCTAACGAAAAATATATTTATTATTGATAAGAATTAATGTCTTAACATATTCGTAAACGGTTAATACAGTTTTCGTTCGTTCATTTTTGTAACCAACGCAAGTAGCGGTGCGCGTTTCCAAGTTTCTTCGAGGTCCCACTTGAAACCTAGAACCTACCGGTTGAAACATTTTTCCTGATTTTTGGAACCTCGAACCTACCCTAAACTTTAAACCCATCATGTCCCAGGTTCCATAGTCGGTTCAAAGATTTACCCAAGTTCCACCCGGTAATCTTAATTGAATTGATTGCAGTGAATCATCACCTCTAATGATCTCCATTTGCTACGATCTACTTCACAGCTCATATTTAGACACACGAGAAATATGAGATATTAATGAAGTAAAAGTATCAGTCGTGGATAACGTCGAAAATAAAAGCTCATACTAATGGTTCCAGATTACACACTCATCATTTGATACCGTGAAATGCCGCAGGATTGCGCGAAAATATGAAACAAGAAAAATATAGAAACTTGTTATAGGTTCTAGGTTCAAGATGAAACCTGTCAGTCGGAACAGATTTCTCAATATTTGAAACTCGGAACCCATCCTACATATCCTAAAACCGAGAACCGGACCGGTTCTCAGGTTCTCCGATCTACCCATGAACCATGCTTATTCCTATATGCAAGCGATTTTTTTACGAAAGTATTTTTTAAATCATTCATTTTTCTAAAAAAAATTTCATGAATGTTTTAAAAAAAAAGGGAAAAAACCACCAAAAACCCCAAACTTTGTCATCTGTGACACATTTACCCCGAACTTTTTTTTGTGACACCAAAAACCCCGAACTTTGCTTTTTGTGACACATTTACCCCAATGTATTTAGTCCATGGGCATTTTCATCTTTTTTGCTTTTTCTTTTTTTTTCCTTTCCGGCGAGGGGGGGCCTCGCCGGATCGGGCGAGGGGGGCCCTCGCCGCGCCGAGCGAGGGGGCCTCGCCCGCGTCGAGCGAGGGCGGCCCTCGCCTAGGCGAGCGAGGGCGGCCCTCGCCGACTCAGCGAGGTCGACCCCGGTGCCTGGGCGAGGGTCGACCTCGCCCGAGCCGGCGAGGGCCGACCTCGCTCGGAGCCGGACGAGGGCCGCCTCGCCGCCCAGCGCGAGGGCGACCTCGCCGGCGCCGGCGAGGTCCGCCCGCCGGCCGAGCGAGGGCCGCCCGGCGAGGGTCCCTCGCCCGATCCGGCGAGGGCGGCCCCGCCGACGCCGGCGAGGTCGACCCTCGCCGACGCCGGCGAGGGTCGACCTCGCCCGAGCCGGCGAGGCCGCCTCGCTCGCCTGTGCGAGGGCGAACCTCGCTGACGCGGCGAGGGCCGCCCTCGCTGGATCTGGCGAGGGCCGCCCTCGCTCAACGCCGGCGAGGGCCCCCCTCGCCGGATCCGACGATGGGCAGCCCTCGCCCGACGCCGGCGAGGCCCCCCTCGTCGGAAAGGAAAGAAAAAGAAAAAGCAAAAAAGATGAAAATGCCCATGGACTAAATATATTGGGATAAATGTGTCACAAAAAGTAAAATTCGGGGTTTTTGGTGTCACAAAAAAAAGTTTGGGGTAAATGTGTCATAAATGGTAAAATTTGGGGTTTTTGATGGTTTTTTCCCAAAAAAAAATTCATGAAAACGAGAAACACAAGCACGCATATCGACCATCTAGTCAAAGGTTTGAATAAAACGAAGAGGACGGCGTGGTGCCTCGTTTCCATGGGCTGGTCCGGCTGGATGCTTCCTCCCCTGCCATGTAATTCCACCCCTCAAATTTTCCAATTCAAACCGAATAATTTTCAAATCGCAAAAAAAAAATAATAAAATAAATAAATAAATAATTCAAAGCTGAAAAAAAGAGAAAAAATCCCCGTCTTCCCATTTTGCCCTCCAACTATAAATATCATACGAATCCCAGCGCCACCGTCCGTCATCTCTCATCTCTCTCTCCATATCTGAGAGGAAATCGTTTTCAATTTTCATTCTCGCCTGCCTGTCTCTTATCTCCCTCTCAGATCGAACGAATATCTCCGCGCAATTCGTCGCCGCCGATCCAAACCGCGTTCGCCTCCGAAGGGCCTCCTCCTCCTCCGGCGATCCGACTCCCCCGGCGGCGTTCGGCTTAGGGCTCTCTCTCTCCACCGTAGCGGAGGCGAGATTCCTTGCGGTGTGATCGGATCCGTCGCGGCGGCGCGGGGTGGGTTGGGGTGGGGGCGGCGATCGATCATGGGCCAACAGTCGCTGATCTACAGCTTCGTGGCGCGGGGGACGGTGGTCCTCGCCGAGTACACGGAGTTCACCGGCAATTTCACCACCATCGCCTCCCAGTGCCTCCAGAAGCTCCCCGCCACCAACAACAAGTTCACCTACAACTGCGACGGCCACACCTTCAACTACCTCGTCGAGGACGGCTTCAGTACGTCTCCTCCCCCCTCTTACCCCGTCGCGTGTTTTGGATTCGGAATCTCTCGTGTCTAGTCGCGGGCGGATGGCGGATGGCGGATGGCGATGCCGTCGGTTTTTGGTTTTTGGTTTAGATTAGGTTTGACGATGGGATCTGCGTGTGATCTGACGGTTTTTGAAGGTGTCCGGTGTCTGGTTACGGTTCTCGAGGTTGATCTCGCGGGGTTTGTAGCCGATTCTCTTTGATCCGTTGTGCGCCTCCGGATCTTTGGGATTTGGTTGTCGTTTTGTTGTTTCTGGAGTTCAAATTCGGATGGAGTGGTCCGAGGTTTGATCTGTTTCATTTGTTCTGAGAGAAGAAGTTGATGCCTGCGTTTTTGTTGTGTTTTGTGTTTTGGCTGTTTTGAATGTCGAAAGATCGAAAAGTTGTTCAAATAAGACAATAATCTAGGTTAATATTAATATTAATGCTATGCGGCTCGTGATCCTGCCGCCGAACCTCGAGACGGCTTGAAAGAAGTATTGGGAAATGAATCTCGATTTCAATGTGGGAGGAACTTTACAGAAATTAATTTTGCATGTTAAAAAATGCCATTGTTTGAACTGGTATTTCTGCAGTGCGTTGATAAATTGAGTTGTGAAAGTGAAAATGGGGTGGAAGGAGGGAATTTGGAATGGAGAGGTTTAGATTCTGGCGAATAAAAAAGATCCTGCCATAGGGAAACCAAGATGACATAGAATACTAATTTAATGTTCTCCTAATTTTCCTTTTTTAGCTATATACCTTGTATATTACAAATTGACTGCTGGATTGAGATAAAATAAATGCAGCTTTTGTATTGCCTTAATGACAATTCTTGTAGCTTAATTATGTTTCTGTTTGACATTTGAAGATTTGATCTTTTACACTTGCTGGGCTTTTCTTTTGTTTTCCTTTTGGATGGCGCTTTTTTTATCTGTTTTATTTTTTTTTGGGAGTAGGGGGGTTGGGGGATGTTGAATTGCAGCCTCTGGGTTCTTAAGTGTAACCATTCAGATGTAGCAGAATGATGCTTAATTGTTTGAGAAGCTGCTTTACCTAGTGTCTGAGGGTGAAAAATTTCAAATCTAAGCTAATATATTTGTGTGGTGTCTCCTATTCTGTGTGAATTATAGTGAGAGTTTCTTTTTCATCTTCTATCCTCTTTGCTTATGAACTTGCTATATTCTCACAAAATCTTTATGCATCTTGGAAGATGTTGGTGGTCATGCTAATCTGGCTTAGCGATGACTCTGTACCATTTACAACCTGAATTTACGGCTCGAAAATTTTGGCAAACTCGGACCTGATACTGCTTGTTTGACTTTTAAGCTCCCACCAATGATGATTTTTTTTATCACTTAATCCTTATGTAGACATTACTCCTATGTCCATGATAATATGATATTTCTATGTCTTGTGTTGTACAGAACTCTGTTTTGTCTGTTCTTTTCTACTCTGTCATAACTTATGGACAATTTCATTTTTTTTCTGATCAGAAGTGATTGTATCTTACTTTCTGCAAGTCTCATTTAACTAAAGTTAGTAGAAACATAACCTCTTATATTCTCATATTCTCATAGAAGCTGTGACATCCACGTTATTTTATCCTGTGCTATTAATCTGTGTGAATTAACTTTTGTGGTGGGTACTTGCAGCCTATTGTGTAGTTGCAGCTGAATCTGCTGGCAGACAGATTCCCATTGCTTTCTTGGAAAGAATCAAGGATGACTTCAACAAAAGATATGGTGGGGGAAAAGCTGCAACAGCTGCTGCCAACAGCCTGAACAGAGAATTTGGGTTCGCACTTCTATCTTGCTATCTTTAAATGTAGAAATTGGTTTTTGAGCTTGTTGTGTGATTGTATGTACTTCTTACCCTATGATTATTTCTTAGTTCCAAGTTGAAGGAACACATGCAATACTGTGTTGACCATCCAGAAGAAATCAGCAAGCTTGCGAAAGTGAAAGCTCAAGTATCTGAAGTGAAAGGTGTTATGATGGAAAATATTGAAAAGGTATGGGGCTTCTATTTATTTGCTTAAAAAAATTAGTTGGTTGCTTTTTGCCTCTTTGATGGGTTGTATATTGGGTGATGGTCTGATGATTAATTTTGGTGATGTGATGTTCCTAAATCATTATTTCTTTCAGGTTCTTGACCGGGGTGAGAAGATTGAGCTGCTGGTTGATAAAACTGAGAACCTTCGCTCTCAGGTTGGTAAAATCGAATTTATGCCTAATGACACTGTCACTGGAGTTTGTGGTTATATTTTGCAGAAGCAAGTGTCCCTGTGTAAGTGTGGCTCTAGATGTTACTGGGTTCTGTTTGGAAGTAACTTTTGTTGGCATTCTGACGAATGCCGGCAAACAGAGGGCTTCATTATATGACGGGTGGTTGTGTTGTCTTTCTCTGCATGTCCCGTTATTGGCAATTCGTTGGGTGCAAAGATTAACTGCTGTTTCCTATTAAAAAGTGATCCCATGTTTGCGTATTCTAATGACGATGTGATGCAGGCACAAGATTTCAAGCAACAGGGAACAAAGATAAGGAGGAAGATGTGGCTCCAGAATATGAAGATTAAGTTGATTGTCTTGGGGATCATCATTGCCTTGATACTCATAATTATCCTGTCCGTTTGCCATGGATTCAAATGCTAGTCTCCAGAAGTTCACGGGTACTTCCCAACTCGCTGATTACCGCCGTTTCTGATTTGACTGCTTCACTCGCCGAGGTCATGGGCCATCTCGATTTTTCTCTCTTTCTCTCAATTTTTGGGTTTTTTCCTTCTCCTTTTTCCCCTTTAGCCATTCTCCCTTTACCCCAATGGCAGTCTTTTCTTCTGGGGTAGGGGTCTTGTATCGTGGATTTGGTTGTATGTGGTGGTAGTTGATTTCAGGTAGATAATTTCTTACGTATGGACATATTCTCCCCAACTTTTATTTCGTATAGTATGTGAAAATCTTAAAATGCTTGATGGTTGGACACTGTTTGTCCATACCGAAGCTCCTCTCTTTTTGCCTCATCACTGTTATCTATCGGTTGAGATTTTCTCAATGAATCTCAGCTACACATGAATGAGAAATTTTTTCTGTCACATCTCTTTTCTCTTGCGCTGTCCTCTGGTCCTGCAACTAGAGGTTGCCATCGATTTATGCTTGCTTGTCGCCAACGTCAAGAAAGCTCCGCAATTGAAATGACGAAAGAAATGGTTGTAATTATGTATGCATACACGTAGTTTCCTGGGGATTGTAGTTCAATTGGTGGATCACCGCCTCCGGCATGGTGGAAGCTGCATGTCAAGATCAGCTGAACACATGTAAAACTGTGCCATCTTGGAGTGGTTTGGCTTTGGTAGTTTGTCCCAAATGGTTACGTCTTTCCTTTTGTCAAAGACTCGTCCATATCGAACTGCTTTTAAGTGGCCCCAAGAATGAGCAGCCAAAGACACAATCTTAGGTAGATGCCGCTTTCTTGTTAACGTGAGTCGTACGTACGTCAATTTTAATGTGGACGCCAAGGTGATTATTTCCTGTGGCTTGTAGATATTGGTCCATTCTATGTAGAATGTTCACTTGAGAATTGTGTCGACGAAAAACAAGAGGCGGCAAGAAGCTCAGACCAATGGAAGGCTTAGGCCAAGGGGCAAAAGCTATTCTAGTAGGATCATTGCAAGGCTTTGGCTACTCAACAGTAACATCATCTGCAAGCAAGCAAGCAAGCACTGGTTTTACTGGAACCTCTCTGGAAAATAATGCAACCAAGCAACGCAGGCTTGTCTAGCCCCGGGAGAGAAATGTAGAAAGAAGCTGTGGCTCGCTAATGAGTGGGCAAACTCTGCAGATTCTATTTCCCCGTATCCCAGCACAAAGGGCATTGAAAGCTATAACGGCATGAGGCGACGCAAAACATTTTGTACACCGACGTTCCTTGTCGACCATGATCTATGTCGGATGTCACCACCAAACATGATGCATCACGAAAGGACCTGCGAAGTGGGGGCAAGCACACATTGACTCTACCATGCTAACTTTTATACCCAAAGGCATTCCCTGGCTAGACTGAATGTCATTTCCATCATATACAATATACATCAGCACGCCACCTGATCCCGAAAGGGAGAGATCTCTTCAAAGATGGGAAGTCTCTTCGACCGAAATGGTGTCCATTGTTTCATCAAATGGTCCAGCCCTTGCATGAGAGCGTCTTCTACGCTCGATGCCGACTCTTGTCCCGATTGAGGCGATACATGCGATGATTCTAGTTCTCTGACTAGTTCTTGTGCTCGGGCTTGTGACTTGGGATCATCGGATCCGACCATGTCACCCTGCAATACGTCGTTCAGTATTGAAAGTGCCTCGGCAGTTCGTGTTTGCTTGATTAGGCAATGGCACAAGTTGCAGGCCTTGTTGGCGTCAGGGTCGATGATTTGAGCTTTACTGTAGACTACTTCGGCCGCCATAAAATTTCCCTGCTGCATGTAGGCCCAACCCAAGTTCCCCTGCATCGAAGCAGAATATGTAGGGCGCAGAGAATTACGAACAGTCCAACATGGAATGAATGCAATCACTAAGAACGAACAACACGCATGTCCGCTGCTTAAGCATTTCCTGTGGAAAGAGAATTTTCCCGCTACCATCGGAAACAAAAGTCCGAGGAAATGAATAGAACAGTTGAATACCAGTATCCTGGAGATCTCTTGCTTGATAGTGACCTGAAACTTCTTTCCATGAGAACGCGCCGTCTTTGTCGGCTTCCCGTTAAAGGCCTCGCCGTGGTATATCGTCCAAAGCTTTTGCTTCAATAGTTCTATCTGCTCTTCGAGTCTTCCGCATTTCTGGTGGATATGGTTACTTTAGAAAGTGAAGAATTGCAAAACGGAATGAAACGGAAGGCAGATGCTCCACAGAAGATCAGCTTATTGTGAAGATAAGAGCTAATGCATAGTTCAATATGAATCAAACTTGAAGTTTGCCCGAAAAATCTCACTTTTAAAGTAATGGGATAAATATACTAAAAGTCCTAAAACTTGTCATGAAAGTACAGTTGCATCCTAAAACTTTCACAAAGTGCAATCACGTCCTAAAACTTGTCACGAAAATGTAATTGAATCTTAAAACTTTCAAAAGTGTAATCAAGTTCTAAAACTTGTCGATTTGGTGTAATCAAGTCCTTTTATTAACTAAGTCCAACTTGACAAATGGAAAATGCTAACAAGTTTTAGGATTTAATTGCATCAACTTGACAAGTCTTAGGATTTGATTGCACTTTTTGAAAGTTTTAGGACTCAATTGCACTTTGGTGATAAGTTTTAGGACTTCCAGTGTATTTGTCCCCACAGTAATCGAGAGAATGCAGTTTGACTAAATGGCATCATTCGAGAAGCACTTTGAATCTAGAGATCTAGAGGAAAAAAAATATTAGTTCTGCAAAACTCTAGTATCACTGTCCAAGTCTTGAAAACAAGTGATACGATGACTAGATGTGTGATCTTGCGACTTAATTCCACCAGCCAATGCACGGTTTATGCTTCAGATCAGTCTAAAGTACCTTGTACAAGTCGATGAGAATGTTGTCCAGCAACTCTTGAGCTTGTTTCGAACACCGGCCTCTGAAAGATTTTATCGCTTCGATAGCTTCTTCTGTTCTATCTTGCTGTTTCATCACCACCGCCATGTCCTTAAGGGCGCTATCGATCCTATCTCCTTCATTTATAGCCTTCCAGAACAAAGCGATCGCCGCATCCGGATCCTTCTCCACCAACTGTTTAGCAGGATACGAATGATCCGTGAATGCGAAATCATCATCCAAGAATAAGAGCTTCACATGCTCATCTAACCATTTCAACATTAATAATAGCTTTGACCATACTTAATTGACATGGCCTAAAAATAGATAAACAGACAATTCAGTCGACCATCGAGTGATTCAGAAAGGATCAGCTCAATGAATTTTTGTAAGTCGGGTACTTCTAGCGGAATTTTTATTGCGGTTGTAACTTCAAGGATTCGCTGAGTGGCTAAGCATTTGATCTCCGGACGCATAGATCACATGCTCGAATCGATCATCCATCGCGTCTCCCACTTATAGTAACATTAAGGTCTAGGTCAGCCACTTTGCGGGTGCTGCCCAACTCGATCCGCGCGGACCAGGTATTTTACATGCATCGGCGAAGATTAGCGAAGTCGAAAGGCTTGGTTAATCCATACCGTAAAAAATGTTAACGACTATGTATGCCTTGCTTGAATCTTTCCAGGTTTCAAATTCACATTGTCATTTCAATAAGGACAAGTTAGAGGCTCAAATAGCAAATTTCCAGGATGAAAGCACAATAACTAAAGGCATTAATCCCCATAAAATCGACTACCCAGAAGTCCCACGCGACCCACGGAGCATTATTCGCAGGTAGGTATCGAGCTTCTGCTGCTGCACCGCACCCATATGACACCGGTTTCGGAGTCCATCGGAACAGCAAAGGCATGACGCCGGGTAACTACAATCACGGCGAAGGTAGAAAATCCGTCGGAACCCCAGAATTCGAAGAAGAAAGAGAGACCTGGACGTGCTTGGCCCGGACGTAAGGGGTGTCGCCGGAGGGGAGCTTGTGGACCACGTGGTACGGCGGAGGTTCTTGCTTCTCGCCTCTCCGCTGCCCCATTCCTCCTCCCTCCCCCCCCCCCCCCGCCGCTTTGCTCTGTTCGCGCAGGAGAGCTTTCCTTCTGCGATCTCCAATGGAAGGAGGAGGAGAGAGAGAGAGAGTCTCGAGAGAGTCTAGAGAGAGAAAGGGGGGGTAGTTGACGACGAGCAGTGATGGAGATGAACGTGGACATGACGGTCGACCAGGTTCGTCCCTTCGATGCGACGGGGTTCGGCTTTTGCGTGCTGGTGCTGCTACGCTACGCGAGAACGTCATGGCGTCTGACACGTGGCTCTATCCTGTTCATCTCCACGCTCCCGCCTCGTTTGTCGATAGGGTTGGGCGGCGGATGTAGCTGGTCGGGGGGCCCAATCCTTGAGCGCGGCGGGATGACGTGAGCCCCGGCTCCATCACGGCCGTCAAAATAGTCCGGATTCCTACGTGATCTAACGGTTAAGATGATGTTAGAATCATTATTTGTTTCACGAAAAATTAATTATTTGAAATTTTTTTTTTGAGAAAAAACCACCAAAAACCCTAAACTTTGCCATATGTGACACATTTATCCCAAACTTTTTTTTGTGACACCAAAAATCCCAAACTTTGCTATTTGTGACACATTTACCCCAATATACTGTAGCCTAGGGTATTTTAGTCTTTTTCCCTTTTTCTATTTTTTTCTGTTTTTTTTTTATTTTTTCCGGCCAGGCTGCCCTCGCCGGCGAGGTCTCCGGCGACCTCGCCTGCTTTGGGCGAGGGCAGCCCTCGCCTCGTCGGCGTCGGGCGAAGGACCCTCGCCCGACGCCGGCGAGGGCCGTCCTCGCCGGATCTGGCGAGGGGGCCCTCGCCGGCGCCGAGCGAGGGCGGCCTCGCCGGATCCGGCGAGGGCGACCCGCCGGCGCCGAGCGAGGGTCGCCCTCGCCGGATCCGGGCGAGGGCGGCCTCGCCCGACGCCGTGGGCGCCTCGCCCGCCCGTGCGAGGCGCCTTCACCTCACCCGGGCGGGCGAGGGTCCCTCGCCCGACTCCGGCGAGGCGAGGCCGCCCTCGCCCAACGCCGGCGAGGGCGCCTCGCCCGGGCGGGCGAGGGTCCTTCGCCCGACGCCGGCGAGGCGGAGGCCGCTCGCCCAACGCCGGCGAGGGCGCCTCGCTCGGGCGGGGCGAGGTCGCCGGAGACCTCACCGGCGAGGGCAGCCTTGCCGGAAAAAAGAAAAAAAAAACAGAAAAAAAATAGAAAAAGGGAAAAAGACTAAAATACCCTAGGCTACAGTATATTGGGGTAAATGTGTCACAAATAGCAAAGTTTGGGGCTTTTGGTGTCACAAAAAAAAGTTTGGGGTAAATGTGTCACAGAGGGCAAAGTTTGGGGTTTTTGGTGATTTTTTCCCCTTTTTTTTTTTTATGAAAGATAACATTTTTCAGAGATTTCTTTCTTTTGGGTAGAATTTGTGTGCTTGAAATGTTGAATTTCCTGCTTTTGGGAGAACATTTGAGCAAAGCTTGTGCATAATGCACGCCACTTTAGGTTTCGAGGGGTTTTTACGAAATGTAAATAGTACTTATTTTTAAGTTTAAGGGGTTTTCACATAATGTGAATAGCGTGTAAAGATTTTTCACGAAATACAATCACTATTTGCACCAAGAAATTTAGGTTAAAAGAAAAAAAATTGCAACGGTGAAGTTCGAAGATCTGGCAAGTTAGGCGAAGGTAGAAGCTCCAGCGACGGTTGTCGCGTGACCCCAGGAGACCCATGCCGACATCCTAGATCTGCAAAGTCCTAAACACCAATGTCGTGCGAATTCCAACCACTTCCTTCGAGACTTCAGCGAGCTAGGTTGGGATCAATAGTGAGCATCACACACCGGTCGCCAGTGTCGCCAATCCCAGGTGACCCATGCCGGCATCCCAGATCTGCAAAATCCTAGACTCGTGTGAATACCATATTTGCAAATCGAGGTCTGCGTGACCTTGAGTGAGGGCCGCCGAGGTAGCCGATCCTCGACCGCTATTACCTGAGGGTGCGCGGCCTTGGGCAAGGCAACGCCAAGGGTCGTGTGAGCTCCGCGGCCCTTGCTCTAGGTCGCACGATCCTAGATCTCGTGTGACCTCGACCATCGTTGGTAACCGTCGGAGAATCTAGAGTAAGGGCAACTGAGATGATGAATAATGTAAATTAAGAGGAAAAGGAGGGATACGAAAAATTAGTGAGGAAAAAATTGAAATAAAGGAATTTATTAATTCTGGCCTCCAGCATTCCGAAAATGCTAGAATGCCCAATGCTGTTCCCCCAATGCTGGTCCCTAGTGGTCTTGAGAGAAAGGCCTTTGGAAATGCATTGCATTTCTGAAATGAGCTTCTAAATTTCTTCACCAAACACCTTAGAATTTGCACAAGGGCCAAGGGACTTTGGAAATGTAAGATGCATTTAGTAACTTGCCAAATAGTGACCGATTCTATTTTTTATTCTCGGGAATAAAAAAAAGAACATAAATCCGTTTGGTAAATTTTTTATCTCCAGGCACAAATTTATTCCCAAAATCAGTTTTGGAACAGAATTAAGAAAAAAAAAAATTGATTATTGATTATGGAAACAAGAATCATAAATAGAAGAGAAATTTTTTTTTTCTTTTTCTTCTTTTCTTCCTGGCCGTGGTCCGTTTTTCTTCTTTCTTGGCCGCCGGCCACAGGCCAAGGTGGGCGAGGGTTGGACCCTTGCAGCCCTCGCCTAGGCCGCAAGTGGCGAGGGTCCCGACGCTCTTGCCGGCCCTGGCCCGTGGCCGGCGACCTGTCCATGTCCAAGAAGGAGAAGAAGAAAAAAAGAAAAAAAAAAGAAAAAAGGAAAGAAATATTAAAAAATTTAAAATATTATTAATAAAAATAAATTTTATGTAGTTACCAAACGTATTTCTGTTCTTTTTCTATTTCAGGAATGAAAATTTTGAGCCGTTACCAAATGCCTTCAAATACTTAGAAATTATTTCCGGGAACAGAATAAAAGAAATCATTTCTGAGGAGAAATTGTTTCTGGGAACATAATAAAATAAATCATTTCTGAGCACAAATTATTTCCGGGAACAAAATGGTTTCCAAACGCACCCGTATTTGCTAGAGCACCATATTTCGGCTTATTTCATAGCTCATTTACTTTGAATTCAAGCTAACATTGAATTTAGGGTACGTTTATTTTGGGAAAAATTTAATGATAAAAGAAAATACTTTTCGGGAGATCATTTTTCAGGAAAATATTTTTTCCTTTTTAAAGTCATGGAATTCCTTTTTTTAATTTTAAGCATGAATAGTTTCTTTGACCGTAAATAGTTTTCCATTAACCGATTATTTCTAGCAAACCAAATGCGTGAAAGTCTCGAAAAGCAATTCCAACAAAACACTTTTACTTAAACAAACGCACCCTTAATTCAATTTTGTTTTTCAAGTTTGCTATTTGAATTATTCCACATTCGAGTTGAATGGGGGTCCTTTTTTTATTCAGATTGGGCCACTTCAAAAGTCAACTAGGGTTTGGACTGGGTCGATTTTCTGGTGGATTGAGCTGTACCTAGTTGTAAATAGCCATCCTTTGTTAATGTCTTGGCCACTGACCACTTTTCGCCGGCTAGAAAGGCCATCTTTAATACATTTAAAAAAGATGTTCTTAGGGGTCAGAAAGACTCGATCATAGGAATTTGGATCACCTATGGATCGGTAAACGAAAACCATCTCGACCGAATCGGAGTAAACAACATATCGAATTAGGCCGCCCCTTGCCTTGAACGGTACGTCTTATACCAAGTGATTTAAATCATTTAAAATAAGAATTAACGTCATGAAAAACCTCAAATTGGTACACTTGTAATAAATTTATCAAAAATTAATTTTTTGACAATTAAAAATCCCAAACATTAGCTTTTCCGATTTGGTGTTCAAAAAATTATTTTGGGGTAAATTTATCACAAATATAACCGATTTGGGGTTTTTTGTGATATTATCCCTAGAAACAACGTGAGATGGATGGAAATTTTGTCCCATTTAGTTTTTCCGACGTTTCCTTTTATGCCGATAATGAGAACTAAAGTCTTTTTTGCAACCAGGGGAGAATGATTAAGGCTCGTTTCCGAAGAATTCAGCATTACCCAACATCCAATGCGAGATTGCTCAAACGTCAAGTAAGTTCATTTCTTCAGGCAGAATTCTAAGGTTCTCTTTCTTTAGATATTTGAAAAACTTTTCGTGATTCAAAATGGTCAAACAAATTATGGTTGGAGCGCCACAGGTGTCTAGTTTCAAACGAATCAAGTTTAATGAAATTTGGAATCTTCTTTAGAGAATTATACTCAAATTACTCAAAAATCAGACTATATTTTATAGGACCCAACAAACGCATGGGTGCTCTTCAAGTCTATTCGGCCTATTGATCCAAAAAAGACAGTCTATTTGGCCTGAACGGACAATCGGCGGTTCAAATGGTATTAGATGAAGTACCTAAATAGAACAGATTAAAGGGTTGGGTTGTCTGGATTTCCAAGAAGTCAAAAGTAACTTTCCTACCAAACTCCAAGATATTTCTTCAATTTCAAGAAATCCTGAAAAAGTTATTTGTATATTTAAATCTCAATATAAAAGTATTTCAAGCATTTCACATTGGTAAGAGTTGAAATTGCACTCCACAAGATTATAAATATACACCGCTGGAAAGTTATGTGCGCACTTATCAACAGTATTTCTCAAGATAACAAATAAGTTGGCATTCAATTTGTCAAAGAGAATATGAGGAATCAAGTCGGTGTGAAAGTTAATCGCCCGCGCGATTGGCCACAAAAATGACGAAGAAATTTGGCTTCTGAAGCATTATATATGCACCGCAGGAGAGTTGCACATCGACAGTTAAAGAAACCGACATGAAAGTCTAAACCTATCTCAGACTTGCAGTGACTGCTAAGAGGAGGAATTTCTGGTATGCACAGAAGCTAGAAATGTATCTTTCGAAAAAACAGCTTATGCCTTACGTGAAAAGCGGCAGTCTTTGCTCGCCCGAGGCATATGATATAATGCTCCTTTTGAGAGGTGAGATATAGTTGGCAGCATGGAAACCGGCAGCTCGTAGTATGTTTAAAGGCCCAAAATCAACGG